ACGATAATACGCAGACACGTCTGTCATGTCCCGCCAACTACACAGAAGTCAACCCAACAGATTTTGTCGTCTTCCTCTTCGTCAAATCATCAAAAGTCTAAAGAAAAGCAAGTCTTAGGCCACCAAAAAAACAACCCAGTGATGGAAAAGTTGAGGTTCTGAGCATGCCAGCACCGCCAATAGTCCTAAGTAATGTTACTAACTACTTGTTGAAAGCAGATTTTATATCTCTGGTAGGGACCGATGACTTTAAGGCTATCGCCAAGGGTTCCTCTCTAACTATCAAACCTTGTAATTTTGATGGTTACAATAAACTTGTCGATTACTGCAACAACTGGCTAGGATTTAGAATGCCATACGTGGGCACCCTGTCATATTCACCCTTTCAAAGTGTTTATCTACAATCTAAATCATATTATTCTTGTTGAAGATAAGAGAAGGCCCTCCAGGATTTGGGCTTCTCAATCATAAGTGTGCTAAACATCCGCCACTGAATTAGCAAACAGGCTCTACTACTATTCACCGTTGTCCTAGAAGCAATGGATTTTAACCGGAACATCTTCGAATCATCCTCCCTTCTTAACTTCAAAATAGTTGTCGAAAAACCACATCAATCTCATTACTCTTTTGAATGCAAATGTCAGCAATACGATCACAGTCGCATTATAGTGAATCTACGTTGTGTCAAATGTGGCAACAACCATAACACCAGGGACTGTGTCAAATATTTGTTTGATCATACCCAATTTCTATTGGCTTATGTTATTTTAATTTTTAATTGGTATAATGTAACCACTATCTGTAATTTTTGAACTCTAATAGTTACTAACTAATGGTTCTAAAAATAAAGTTTCATATATTGAATCTTACCAGAAATCAGATTGCAACTCATGAACACTTTCTGTAGTTCATTGTTGTATTTATATTCACCAAACCAAATTGAATAATTTTCTTTGTCAAAGTGGTCCCAGAAGTAAGCAATAGATTTGGATTCTTCCTCATTACTKTAAACTCTCTTGAACTCATCCATATTGAATGTTCTAATTTAAATGCACCAAGTTAACTTTAACTATTAACAATGTATATATGTATATTATACAATACCCTTTAGGTAAAGCATCAAAAGGATTACTGGACTTGGGCTCAGCAGCTAAAATGAGTTCAGCTGCATCTGGTTCTTCTTCTTGAACCACTTCTTTGGGTGCTGCTGCCTTTTTAGGTGCTTTTTCTTTCTTAGCTTGTGGTTTCTTATCTCCAGATCCACCATGGAGTTCAGAGTAGACCTTTTGGTTAAATTCAGGAGTCTTTTGACAGTACTCAAACTTTCCAATGACTTTAATAACTTTAGGCTGGTTAACAATGGTATCAAACCATCTGTTTACATTGGTGAATGGTTCCCTAAAAAATTTATACTTTGAAATGTCTGACCAAAACATAATAAAGATTACTTTAACAGTTAAATAGGAAGTATGATAAAATAAATTAAAAATCTAAATGTTGAATACATAGGCCCGTCTGATAAGCGATTACAAATTATCAGATCAATACTTTGTAATACATCAATATACCTCATTTTGTTACGAATTAAACAAATTTAAAATGAATAGCTCGCCTTTGATTGAGGTTATAAATAGTTATAAATATATATTCTTACATGAAAACTGGATTTATGACATGTTGATATAATTGTAGTAATGAGCAAGCAACAGTTATATCGGCCAATGTAATACGTTCACCAACTAAGTATGTTTTCGTTAGTAGATAATTATTTAAGTACTCCAAAATTCCTTTGACATCTTCAATAGCTTTATCAACAGACTAAAAATAAACTACAATTATATTTTTGAAAACTTTAAAATAATTAGGTAATAAATCATATAATTCAATATTACCGATTTATTGAATTGGGCAATGCTAAGTGAGGGATATACCCATGCATAGGAAGCTGGTAAAATTTCATTGTCTGCATAGCTAATAAATTGTTGTACGAGGGCTTTTTCGTATGGAGTAGACCCTTTGAGTTGCTCACTGGATACTAAATTATATATTAATTAAAAATATGTATTACAAACACTATTAAAATTCAAATATAATTAATAATCAAACACTAAACACTTGTATTTTCAACCCCAAAAATAACATAAAATTGAATATACACATTAATATTTTGAGTAACATACATTTTGATGATATTCTGTAATATTGTCACCTGTAGATCAAATTAGTCTCAACAATAAGAATGACACAAGTATCCAAGAAATTGGGTCAAGATTATAATTTAAGAGTATCAAAAATAAAATAAATGTAAAATTTCTTCTTCGAGATTAAAATGTATAAAACCGAGATAAAACTTAAGTGTAAAATATTCATTGAATCCTGTACAAGGTATCACTAGTTTCTACAAATTAAATAAATAAATCGATATATATATTTTGGAAAAATCCGAGTGTTTTGTTACACCGTACCCTTACTAACCAAAATAGGCGATGGCATTGCTCTCAGTCAGATATTCTTTCTTGTTGGACTCAAACGCCGGTACCTGGAAAACATATAGCATATTATATAATATATATCATAGACCACATAGATGCCGCCGAAGGGCTTTATGGTGGATGGGAGGGGGTGGTGTTGAGGTGGGCATATGTCGCCGAATTGCCGACTGACTGGCGTTTTTCGGCGTTTGTTTGAAATATTTCATTCACCTTTCCTTGGGGGAACTTCTTGAGGAAATCCTCTTGTTTGTTGGTGACGCCGAATTCAAACGCCGGGTCGACTTTGACATCGGTTCCGCTGTACTGGGCCGCTATAAGGGCCTTGTACGCCCGGAAGTTGTTCAAATACGTGTACAGGGTCTGAAAAACAACAGGATGACTGCGATGACAACGGGATGACCGGGATAAGCCCGGATACGGAACGTGCACTTACGCCTGACGCCATTTTTCTGCTTGCGATCGTACGTGGGTATGTGTATATATATGACGTGAGCGCTGCGTTCACGGCGAACGGTCGGTGATAAAAGAASGAAACTATAGAAACGTAATTCGGTCGACGGTTACAGCGGCGAGACGATGACGATTCGTGTACTCGTGTGTTGTGTTGAAGATGGTCGGGGGGTGGGAATAAGTACTGTTGATGATGTGGTGGGGGCTGTAATCAGGCATTTAGGCGGCGTCGAACAAAAAATAAATGGTGTACCAGAGTAGTAACTAGCAAGGTTTAAGATAGAATGGTTAAGCGACGAGGTCTGATATTTTGGCGGTAGAGTTTCTTATCAAAAATTTGAAAAACTCACTGCCCCGTGGCGCGATCTCGGATCTACAAAATTACCACCATACTCTTGATATTCTTTAAATTCATTAAATAATAATAATAATTAATACTATATTATAATAATTAATTATTATTATATAGCAGTGGCGTGCAGATCTCTTTTTCCATGTGGGGCAAAGCTAATTTTTTTCACCCACCAYCCACCTAAAACTAAAAGTTACAAATAATATATGTTTTATTAAGGGCCTCTCTACAGTTATATGAAAACAMAATATTTATTAAATAAAAAAATAAAAATAAATCCACACCCACCCCACATTCAAGTGGAGCCCAGGCCCCATTTGTGTTTTGTCTGCACGCCACTGCCACTGTTATATAGGACCTACTTCATAATACTTTATGATTGAAAACGTAGAAGAACTTTACAATGTAATTTTTTTTAACAAATGTCAATTTTATATTGGCATTTAATAGCTTTCCAATCTAATACCAGCAGCTGCATCCTTTATCGCTGTTTATGTGAATGGCTATTGCTATATACTGTAGTATATTAACAGTCATACAGAATAAAATTCTATATAATATTATTTTCTATTTTGAAGTATGGCTAAATAGTAAATAGTAAAATGCTGTCTGGGATTATTGTTTTTGGTGCCAACATGGCCGCACTGGAAGCGCTAGTATCCAGTGAGTAAAAACATTTATTGGATAAGAAACTTTTCCGCCGTAATATACCGTGGGATTGTATGAATCGTCGCTCAACCATTCTATCTTAAACCGTGGTAACTAAGTAAGTAGTTGACAGTTGTGGACGACGTCGTGGTGTACAATGTGTAGTGCGGTAGTACTGGTGTAGTGGAGCAACTAGTAACTACTTGGTGACGGAGACGACGACGACGTGGCCTTTGGCAGTGCATCCGAGAGAGAAAATTTAAACRATTGAATTGTTGGGTATACGCAATTCGACCGTTCGTCAGGCACATACACACGGCCATGAACATATGTCATATATACATATATACACGGCCACACGGGGATGTTTTGGATGTTCAAGCATCCGCCGAAATATTTGGTTTTTGTATGGTTATGTACTTATTCTATTTTAATGTGAATGGTAATATTATTCTTTAATAGACAGGTATTATATTACATTGTGTCTGTGAAAAACCGGCTAACATGTTTTACTTTTCTAAAACATTCCCCAAAACTTTTTTCTGCGTACATCTGTACGACAGTCACAGTACATAACTGTACGACATATAAAATACAATTAATGTACCAYGATTATAAAGAATTGTGGCGACAGAATTAATGTACAATATTATCAGAATTATCAGATTGTATTCTGTTTCAGGTTTCTGTGTCTCTGTGACCAGCAGCTGTGTTATCAATTTATCATCGTCTTGGGCTAGGGTAGGGCCTTAGCCAGGGTAGCCGACTATTATAATTATTATAGTGGCGATCACCAAGGCACGTCAACGAGCGGGGCACGAAGTCGTTGCTACAGCTGTTTTCGTACGTTATCTAAATCGATATTTTTGTTGCTTGATACTATCAGCTATGCTTATTTATTATTATATAGGTAGGAATATATACCGWGGATTGAGGGCGGTGGTTCGAGACTCCCCAGGGCCCAGTGGTAACGAAAAATAATAGCTCTCCCCACTTCCCCGGTCAACACTTCACCCACACACATACACATTATACACACACACATTATTATAGGTATTTATCATTTAGTATTACTGTATTACGCTCTCGCGCTCCCTTACTCTATACAAATCCAATACACATACGACGTTTAGACATTATACGCGACCGAAACAGAAATCTCTAATCATTTCGTATTGCGGCCACCCATTATTGTCGTCTGCTACTATAACTGTATTTCAGTTCAATATCTCCACCGTATTTCACCTCCGACCATGGTATGTAAAAATTGTGCTTGAGTATCGGACCATAAACTAAATGTGTCTTATAATGATTTCCAGGGGAACGAAAACTCGCTTCCGATGGAGCTGTGCTCAAACTGTAAGTACCTACACGTATTTCTGTTTTCGTACCCAAACCATTGTGTGGGACTAATATGTTTCTTATTTTATTCTTGTCAGTCGATGCCGATGAAATCAGACGTTTGGGCAAACGGTTCCGCAAACTTGATTTGGACAACTCCGGTGCTTTGAGTTTGGAYGAATTTTTATCTTTGCCCGAGCTTCAACAGAACCCACTTGTACAAAGAGTTATAGACATATTCGATGAAGATGGCAATGGTGAAGTTGACTTCAAAGGTAATGGTTATGTCTACATGGATTTCGGTATTACTGTCYGTGTCTAGGTATTTTGTTTTAACAATTTATATTTTTTTATAGAATTTATTCAAGGAGTTTCTCAATTCAGTGTTAAAGGAGACAAGGAATCTAAGTTACGGTTTGCTTTTCGAATCTATGATATGGATAATGAYGGATATATATCAAATGGTGAATTATTCCAAGTATGTACCTATATAATTATTGAGTTTAATTACYTCCATTTGTGTAAAACTACTACCTTTTTAATTAGTTAGAAGTTCTTGGTTGTCTTAATAATTAATTAGCTGTTACGTTTTATTTTTATCTTTAGGTTTTGAAAATGATGGTTGGAAATAATTTAAAAGATACTCAGCTTCAGCAAATTGTGGATAAAACTATATTGTTTGCAGACAAAGATGAAGATGGCAAGATTAATTTTGAAGAGTTCTGCTCTGTTGTTGGCAATACAGATATACACAAAAAAATGGTTGTTGATGTTTAAATTGTAAGTTTTATCCAACTCCAGTCTGTTACAGTAAAAAATAATAATTCTAGTTTATATTAATTTATAATCTCATCTGCCTTGAATATTAAATTTTTTTTTATAAATCTTCCACCATTTTGATACGCTATTAATTCATGTCACAGAACATTTTTTATCATAATTATAGCTTTTTTTTTTTTAAACATGGCACCTTCCATCTTTCTCAAGCCTGAATGCTACATACAAACACAAATAAACATATTTATTATTGATTCATATAAAAACAAGCATACACATAATGTATTATACAAATAAATAATTA